TTTGTAATGCTTTTGAATCACTTGCAGAACAGAGCCTTCAAAAAATAATATGTGAGAGAAATCTTTAAAAAACGGAAATTCTTAACACTTATCGATATATAGATATCATGTAGTGAATTTTCAATAATCAGTTGGCCAAGCAGTAATACGAAAACACTGTTTTCGCCAACCCATTCATGATTTTTTAAACTCATAGAAATTCGCTAATTTTTATCTCTATTGTCAAATAAACAAACCCAAATTATGAAAACATGAGTTATTGAAAAATTCTGTCGACTGCAGAAGTTGGATGAATTCAAATATTATATCAGTGAAATGAAATGAAGAATGAAAGAAAGAAGAGCGGAAAGAATTAACCTAGATCGTAAAATGGAGACAGAACATAAATATCGGTATTTACCGAGAATGCGCATTCGAATGCGATTATATTCGCATGCGAAAGCCATCTTAGTAACCAAACTTCTTTCTGAAAGAAAAACATACCATTTTACAAGCATTCTTCATGACCAATATTATAGTCATCATCTATTCAAAATATGATGAATTCTCAATAACTCTTTATGCTGAAGGAATTCTTTAAAAACATTTTTGAAATTATTGATGATTTTATCACGTTGATAGTAACTATTAATTCACCCACTTTAATTTGCTCATAATCGATGAATTCAGTGGACAGAATCCTCAGAGCACTCAAATTTTTTCTGTCCCTTCTCACCAGCAGCACTTCTGCTAATCCAGAATATGCTTTTCCTGAAAAATGTTTCGAATGAAACTCTAGAAGAGGTTTGATTTTTGGAAACTGAAAAGCTTTAGAGAGGAATTCCAAAGGTGATTAGAAACAGATCGAGATTAAAACTTACCGATTTGACCACAAATGGTAAATGATGGCAATTTCTTATTAACCGACACGACAGCACAACCAGAATTTTGTAGTGATGATGAACGATAACCCATAATATGGTGGAATCACAAATTTTGCATTTATCGATGCTGAAAAGAGTAATAATCATTGATGAATTTGTGAATAAGACGATTATTTATTGGGTTAAGGCACATATCGTCGACCAAGTAATAACAATTTATTTACTATCACACAAAAATATCACTTCTGACGGGAATTGTCATATGGGG